AATCTTACAAGGGATAATACACCCTGATAGTATTCAACTAATATTACTAATTGGTAAAGGGCATTAATGAGTTAATCTTACTGGGGATATAGGATGATACATCCTATAGTATTCTCTTAAAACAACAGATTGGTGAGGGGTAATATTGAGCTAATAATAAAACCGGGGGTATAAGATAACACATCCAGATAGTACTCAACTAATATTATAAGTCCGTGCATAGTTACTCGACTAATGTTACTGACCGGTGCAGGGTTACTCGACTGTTACTGGCCGGTGCAGAGTTACTCAACTAATGTTACTGGCCGGTGCAGGGTTACTTAACTGATGTTACTGACCGGTGAACGATTACTTAGCTAATGTTACTGGTCAGTATAGGGCAATGCTGAGCTAATGTTACGCTGTCCCTCTGCCCAATCGGACGGCGTGGTCGGACGGTATCGTGCAAGACTGCTAACTCTAAAGTCCCGAGTTCAGATCCCAGAGGACCTAACTCACGATATGGAAAGTAAAGATAGACTATCCCTGTATTTGCCTCGGCACAGAAACCGATGGGATATAGGGCCTACTCCTGAAAAGCGTATAATGAAACAGTTCCGTATGTCAACGTCGATAAAGTTGCATATCAAACATGTATCTAAAATGGTCGGCGTGGAGGATTAAGAAGGAAAAAAAATTAAATAACTTCGATCAATGGTTCTTTCTAAAGAAGCCCAAAAATATATTTATCTTATCTTAAGCCAATGTTAAAGGACATACTATTCAATATTGAAGTACAGCTTAATGCTACGAGAGGTATGTGTATGGGTGGGTGTGTGACAACATCACAAGTATACTAAAATACTGTGCCTACTATTGTTACAAGTTAAACAAGGACTCCATCAAGAACAACTGTCGACAACAACAGCCAACTGAGGCAAATAATTAGCACAACTTGTAACGCTTGTTTTTCAACTCGTGGCGGTACTAACTCAGTCGCTTCAGCGTTAAACAATGGAACACCGCTCAAGGCTGTCCACCAGACCATGATGGTCCTCCACATCCCGCCCCCTTCCCCTACTTTGTCATAGGACCACAGGTGATCAAACAAAGATTTAGCCAGGGCTTTTTAGCGGCAAGGGGTGGGGGAGGCACATTGTTCGCTCAATACAAATAAGCTTTTCAAAAGTTTTTAAAGGCGAAAGTTGGGGGGGGGGGGGGGCGTGAAGAGAAGGGGGGAGGATTTCCAATGTGAAATGAATCATACACATAAATCACCAAAAACACCTGCGCGTTTAAGCAATATCAACCCAAAATACTACACCGAGTAGCTAATAACTAAAACGGCCATACAGATATACATCAACCCATGCAGCACTTATCTACCAAGTGGGAATAAAACACCGACAATCTTTCCGCATGTGACGTCAGATTTAGGCTTGCGTTACCCGTGTAGCGCAGCCATCTACGGAAATGATTTACGGCCTACTAAAATCGGGGCATACCAACTTCGGGTACACCGGAAAAAAAATTTACACCGCGTTTACACTTGCGACATGTAAACTATAAACGTCTACGAGAAAAAAAAAAACTTCGCCATAGGCCCCTAAGTTAATTTTATCAGAACATGTAAGGGGGACATATTGTGAAGTTTTTTTTTTTAATACATGTATAGTATACATGTCGCAAATGTAAACGCGGTATAAGGAAAACAACACAGCGAGCCCTCTATCAAACAACGACGCATCGCCCCCGCTTAGGCTGGGGTAAGGGGATTAAATGTATTTAAAAAAACATGAACAGTACAGCTTGATAAGACACGGTTTTGCCAAAGATAAAAATCGGACCGCCGACTGAATGCAAGCGTTAGCGCGGAAGAATAAGGACCTTCGCCTGTACAACAATGCTCAAACAGTGTTAGATTTATTGCTCATTGTCATCGTGGGTCCTTCTATGTCGGGCGTAACAGTTTGTTTGCTATTCGAAATACGGCGTGTTCGCTCCTTGTATACTGCGATGTTGGTTTGATGAGGTTGGGCCTAAAAATAAAATGCAAGCAGCCTTGTACTTGTACGGACAAGTGCTATTTCAAACCTATAATTGTATCGGAACTATGAACGTGCAGCAAAGTAGATGCCAAAGCAAAGTATACGAAGTTTAAAAAAAAAAGGTTAACGGTCTTATTTAACGCTCATGGATTAAGAAAGCCGAAGAGATACCGCGTCTTCCATCTTACTCCCCAGCAAGCATACATTATAGCTTGATACTGAACAATACAATACTCTCCTGGTAGACGAATACGTGGCTGGTAACGCTAGAACCCCGAGTCTGAAGTGGACTTCAACCCCGGGGACCAAAGTGAACTTCAAGTGCCCCGGGACAAGCCAATCGGACCCTACAAGTAAAGGAACGTGTTTCCGTGAGGAGCACTAAGCCTTTCCCCACGTTTAATTACAGAAAGATTTCAAGCAAGGGTTGCCCTCGATACAACCCCAGACACCCATTGTTATCAGCTGGGGCTAGGCATAAAAAAAAAATCCCATTGTGGGGGCTGTTGCATTGTTGGCAGAAAACTGAAGAGCGTTCCTCGCAGTGTACCTCGCTGTGGTCAAGAGGTGATGACAATGGTCACTACAGCCCGTCTGTAAGTTTTGACGTGCACAATACGGGGCCACCAGAATAAATGGGAAAGATCCTTTCTACTTCAGAAATCCCCCATTACAACCTTCACAATAGGACTTTATCCCCTAGCCCAACAGGACTGAGAGGTTGAGGTTAAATAAAGATGGAATTGAAAAATAATTGGACTTGGACCAGGGTGACACGTTCAATCTAATTAATTCTACATTAATTTACAGCTGGCTTAAAAATAACTTTTAACACAATACAGTTAACTGAACTTTACTTGGAGTTGAATTATGAATAAAATACCAGACATTTTGAGACTCCATGACAGTTTTTTTCAACAAAACACATCACAAAAATTTTGTTTTTCTTAAAATACTGTAGACACTCTGTTTTGTGCATATTATTCTACTTTAAAAAAAAAGAAAATGTTTTGGCATATTGGAATATCTGTAGTAAAATTAGCTACCAATTATCACTGGTTGACAGTTATTACAGCTACATGAAAAAGATCCTTCCATATGTACACACTAGAAAAACAAACAACAAAATTTGGAAGTTACATTCTTTTATAAATAAGCAACACCACTCTTTTCTATGATTTGAGTATGCTAATCCCTACAGCAACAGATGCCAACTTTGAGCATTTGGAAACAACGTTTTCTTGAAGGTTTATAATATTGTAACCTGTCTTAAAAATGATCACTCCAATGATAAACCCATAAATTAATTGGAAAATTTGGGAAAACTACTAGTGTCTGTAAAAGAACTCCAAATTATTTATTGAGTATATATGTTGCAACAATCGCCTTTAGATTAAGTAGGTAAGATGCGGAAAGTACAAATAATCTAATAACATTTTTTTTTAAAAATAGGGCTATAACTAGATGTAACTGTATTTAATCTGGGCAACCAAATATGTAAATTATCATAAATGAAGGAAAGCAGGTGATTACTAGAGAGATTGGAACAATTATCCAGTAATGCAAATTTTATTTTATAACTAGAACCTGTTATTGTAAATATAAACTAAAGTATAAAGCCACTTTGTATTGTCATTTTTTCAAATGAATTTTTTGGTAGTTTTTATCTCGATATTAAAACTTAATTTTTCTTTTTAATCATTGTTTTGGGCGCGCAATTGAAAAATGACTTTTGTGGATTACACCTACCAAGAGGGCTGATATTGTTTAACTATAGATAAAAGATCTAAACGTAACATAATAACTAGGACTAGCCTATATTTTTTATTACAAAAACTGTTCCAAAAATTAAAAAAACAAAACAACAACAATAAAACAAATTGGTCCTTAATGTTACGTTTTGAACTCTAGATTCAAATGTATGATAAGTGTACTTTAATTTTAGCGTGTTTTAATATGGTGAAATGTTTATCCACAATCCACCCTTATCAGAGTCATCTTATTAATTAAAAAAACCTAACGCTAAACAATAGGCCTATACCTAAGTTTAATAAAAATCAATGTTGTATCTAGTCTTATTAATGAACTGGATAGTGATGTGTAGGGACCACTATAGTAGCCCCTTTCAGCTTTAGGCTACATATTTGTTTAGCGACAAAGAATATAGTCCTAGAAATCTATACTATATCTAGATCTAGGCCTATAGGGCCTAATATCCTAAACTTAAAGCTTTAATTGTAATTATTCAATGATAAGAGCTATTTATTTGAGGTCTAATCCTAATTTAGTAGTTTAAGTAGGCCCTGGCCTATAGCAGCACAGCCCTATAGTATAGTATTAACTATTAAGTAGGCTATAGACTATATATAGCCTACTATAACTATAAAGTATATGACAGGTTTAATAAGTTCCCAGGTTTTTAATCTAGGAGGTCTATAGGCCTACTTTACTTTCTAAATTTCACAGTAATTTACTTTTTAGGCTATTTATTTTTCTTATTTTTCTTATAATAATTAGCTATTCGTAACTAAGGCAACATTTTACATTAACAATAACAACAAGAAAAGCAAAACTTTCAACAAAATATTTTTAATTTTAGTAGGCCTGCCTAGATAAAAAAATAACTTATTTCTAGATCTATTCAAAAGCAAAACTATTACAAAAGTATCTTTGATAGTTTACTTTAAATGTAATATTCTTAACCAATTATGCTAAGCTCAAAACCGAACTTCAATTTATTTTCTGTTTAGCTCAAACGAAACCTAGTCTATGTCTAGCACAACAAGCCTACTTCGTGCTTCTGCTATGTAAAGAAATGGAACAAAAACAGACTTGACGTCTGCGGTATGGCGCCGTCAAGTCGCAAGTGATTTTCTCTTAATACTACAAACAGCAGCTAACACAATTATATACTAAAATAAAGGTTCAACATTACAGTTTTATATTTTATAGAAATAAAAATTTATAACATACCAGTTACAAGTAAAATAAGCACAGAATACAGCAACATACTCCTAAGGATCGACATCATTCCGCCATTTGCATGACCTCCAACCTATTGGGTTGGAAATGTGAACTCTAACCTCTGATGAATACCCATGAAGTACGGTGTAGGGGTTAGTTTTCGTCCAACAGTAATGGGGCTGAGAGTCGGCGCGAAGAGTTCCGGGTGTAGTGATAATGCCAATTGAGAATGTGAGATGAAGCGGAGGCTTGCAGCTGTAAAATCATCTGCGTGTTGATCCAGAAATTTCTCACTCATCGTCTGCCTCAATCTAAACAGCCCGTGTTTGCAGAGGGAAAAATTTTTAAGGGGAAGAATCGGGATTAAGATATGATGTGCAGGTGCAAGAAAAGTCCGATTAAGTGTGCAATATATTTTCTACTCTTGTTTGATCAACTGAAAAACTTCAGTGCGCCCTCGATTTTCCCCCTACCTGTATTTATCCTGAAAATAAACTGTAGGCGCGGTGTATGCCTACGTGGTAATAGCCCCGATGTCCCTGCAGACAAGCTTGTAGACTTAGAGGAGGAAGAAATATCAATCGAGGGTAAAACTACCTTTAAGCTCTCGAAGGGATTGAAGGAACAATTACCTGTTCCAAAAACCTGTGTAAGGCAGCGAACATGCACGATCTGAAAAGTGTTCGCTGTTCATTTAAGTGTGTGTAAAATTAAAATAATTGTAAAAATAGTTTATATAGGCTACTTTATATATTATATATATATATATATATATATATATATATATATATATATATATATATATATATATATATATATATATATATATATATATATATTTATTTATTTATTTATATATATGTATAAATATATATTGGCCTTTATATATATATATATATATATATATATATATATATATATATATATATATATATATATATATATATATATATATATATATATATATATATATATATATGTGTGTGTGTGTGTGTGTGTGTGTGTGAGTGTAGTCCCTATAATCAGAACAGTTCTTAACTATGTTTATTCCCCCCCCCCCCCTCCTTCTCAACGACGCACATCGTTATTGATTCTGTTGCAGTTTTTTTTTTTTTTTTTTTTTTTAATTAAGCCGCATCTTTATCCAGCTCAAATATTATTCCTTTCATCCGAAAATCTTTTTTTGTTATCCGAAAGCCTGCTTTTTAATTTATCTCAATATCTTCTACAATCTGCAAAGCACAGAAAAATATTCGGATATAGCACGTAATGTGGGATCATGGTCGATAATCAGAGAACGATGGAGGGGAGAGAATACAATGCATTGCTTCCATCTCTATAACAGAAGAAATGGTCTCGCTAAAAACCGATAGACAAATCAGTTAACAATTAATTTGTACGATCACTACATTTCACTTTGCTTTTTTTTTAAATTTGTTTTTCAGTTTGACTTTAACGGACCCACATTTCACAGTTGATGTCCCTTATTACTATTTAAGATTATATTTTTTAAAAGTGGTATTCAAGATTTCACACATATCATTTGTGATGTTTTATCGAAATTTGGAGCCTGTAATAGAAAATCCAAACTATTCCTTCACATGTCGAGGTCCCTGAAACAGATGAACTCTACTTGATCTACCCCATATGTTTTGGGCACGAATGGGAAAAAATGATGAATAGAAAATCGTTATCGACAAACCAGTTAACTACTACTACTTTAAAAACGTGTCTAACGTACGGAGCAGAGTGGCGCAGTGGAAGCGTGCTGGGCCCATAACCCAGAGGTCCGTGGATCGAAACCACGCTCTGCTAATGTTTTTAATGTTAACAACTAGATCTAGATGAAAATTGACTCTGTGAATATATCTTTGAAATTACATAATTTGTTTTATTTCTAGTGGTTTTTTTTTATAAAGGACATTGTTATGCTTTCGTTAACGATATTACATTCTCTCATTCGTGAGTAATAGCCTACATTCACAAGAAAGTCTTTGCCTCAAATTTAACAGTCCCCTCGTTATGAAGAAATGTATATAAAAAGACGATAAGTCCATCGAGCTTGGTTAATTATTTCCTACGCTTCAAAGTTGTCTCTTCTAAGGGCAGGCAACTCCATCACTGTTGAAGTGCAGTACATATTTAGCTGAGACTGGGGAGTATGGACGAGATGTGGCGATTGACACCTGAGTGTTTGGGGTTCCCAATTGGGGTCGTCCATAAGTGACGTCCCTCACACAGGACGTCATGTACCCCCGCCCACTCACCAAATACGTCCATGAGGTTTAGACCAATATCCCACCTCCCTCCCAATTTTTCCATGCGTATCTGTCGTGGACAGTAAGTAAAGAAAGTAAAAGTAAAGTTCCCTTTCAAACCTGACGGTCTATGGGGCAATTGAAGTAGAGTTTATTTGTCTATGTGATTTCTGCATATGAAGGGATAGTGTAAAGAAAGGAAACTATAATTTAAGATGAAGTAGAGTTCAATTGTTTCTGTAACCTAAGCATATTTAATATCTTATGATTTAAGATGAAGTAGAGTTTCGCCACTGTCACTGACCTCTGCAGATGAAGGGATTGTTTGGTCAGCTACGTTGGATATGGATGGGTTCGAACCCGCGAATAGACCTCGGGTTAGCAATCCGACGCTCTATTACCACCGCGTTGGCTCCTTTTAAATTTGATTTGATTATGCGTTTTTTTTACAAGCTTTTATTACACTCACTTCCTCGTCAGTCTGTCTGTCTGTCTAGATCGAAACGCTCGAGCGAAAATTCAGACACTTCTACTTGACAGATACGGTTCGTAATTGTTTAGTTAATAGTCGTCCATAAAGGATGTCACACTGCTAATGGGGAGCGGGGAATGTGTTTGGAATTTTTGTGACGTTATGCGACGAAGGGGAAGATGGTGAAAGGGAGTTTTAAATAAAGCCGGAGTGATCTCCCCTAAACGTTCTCGAATATTTTTAATAACAATACGGTGATATAGACTTGATTTTTAATTACTTAAACTTTTAAAAAATCCATTTTTAATTATTTAAACTTTTAAAAATAGAATAGAATATCGTATAAAATAGAATTGCGCATTAAGTAAACGGCAAAAAAACATGTGTATAACAGTGCGGAATATTAGTACTTTATAAATTCATATTCGTTTTTTTTTTTGAGAAATCGGAAATAGCGTAAATTATTACTTCCGGTCAGCGGAAATTACTGAAAAAGATCTTTTACTTGTATGTAAAATTTCGTTTATCTCTCTAAAACAGTAGGCTTTTCAAAAGCCTATAGTATAATAAGTTCCATGTCCGTGTACCGGAAATCGCTGGAAAGTTGATACAGAACTACAAATTTGATATAATAATCATATATGAAATTTCATCAACCTAGCTGTAACGGTACTTAAGTTATCGTGTTCACAGACATACACACACACATACAGACATACGGACAAAATTGCGAAATTGAATTTTAGCCATTAATTCACATTTTTAAAAGTATGTTTTTGTATATTATAATATGTACAATACACAAAACCATCCATTTTTTTATATTGTAATATAAATTTAGAAAGAAGTCGATTTTTAAAAGGCAAAAAAAAAACAACAACTGCAACGTGGTTGAGATGTGAGTTGTGACGTCATTTGAGGGTGTGGATCTGGATTTAAGACGAAATGTGACGATGGGGAATGGAGAGAGAAACATCGTCAAAAAAAGCGTGACGTCATTAATGGACGACCCCCTTAGGAGTCATCCATAAATGCCGTCACGCTTTTTTTTGACGATTTTTACCCCCCCCCCCCCTCCCCTCCGTCACACATCGTCACAAAAAGCAAGATCCCCCTAAAATGACGTCACACCTCAGCCTACAACCCCCCCCCCCCCCCTCACAATTGCAGTTGAATTTTTCTTAAAACATCGATATTTTTTCCAAAATCTTGTCTGAACTCTGTCGACAGAGTATTTTGATCAATTCCTATTAAAATTTATTAAAACAATTTTCTAAAACGCAAAATAAGGGCTAAAACATTGCTTTTTTATAATACAAATGTGTGACGTCACACCATCTGAACCCCCCCCCCTCCCCCTCATCACACACCGTCATAAAATTACGGACCCCCCCCCTCCGCCCCCTCTACGAATGTGACGTCATTTATGGACGACCCCCTAACATATATTTCATTCCTTTTTTTTATAAGTAACACTACTTGGCTTTGTGCAGTGATTCACGTAAACATACATCACTTTGCTATTATTCCCGACCTCTCCTCTATTTTGTTTCCCTCCCCTCCCCCCCCCCCCCCCACCCTGGCTATAATTATGGGAACTATTTATAGTCATGGAAGGTTAAAAGCATAATTGTTGCCAGGTGCACTTGTGCAACTCTGCTCGAGAAGAGTCAAACCCTAAAACATGCCTGTTGTTTACAGAGACTGAACTATAATCACGCGGGGTATAGAGTACAATTTGGCATTCCACTTGCCAGATTTTAGTCAACATTGCGACCACCTGCGCTATGCGTATCTAACATTGGTTTTAAACCTAAATCTAGTTACATTTCAAAATATCTTGTTTATAATTATTTTAACCTACTTTCCCGAGTTTCAGCCAATTTTGGTTGTTATGAATATAATATATTTAAAAGAAAATGAAGTAGTTTCTGCCTTTCTCATGATATATGTAATGAAGCCACATTATGCGCATATCTAAAAATGACAAACGCAGCATAGTTCTTAAAAAAAAGCTCATTTAAGCTGCAGTTTTGAATTATAAACTTTAAAAATATATGGGGGGGGGGGGGGCAAATTGAAAGTTTGTCCCCGGGCGCCGGGAGGGCTCGTTACGCCTCTGTGTATGATCAAATTATATCGACAGAAATAACCGAGGAGAATCTACATTCTAACGACAATCGTATTTTATCAACATCAAAAGCTGAAATGGGTGTTCGTGTTTTTACAAAATGAAATATTAAATTTAAGAAAAAAAATCTTTTTTTTTTAAAAGTAGTTTAAAATAATTGTCGTCAAGTCTTTTAAAAATAAAATGTTTACATTTTTAAAAGTTTCCTAAATCATTTAATAATAATCATTAAAAAAGTTTTAAAAAACCCACGTTTTCTGATTGAACTAAAAAGTAGAAAATA